TCTAGAAAATGATCTATTACTTGCCGATGTTCAACTGGACAACAAGTGGGGTAAGTGGAAAACTCGGGCACGAAATTTCGAGCAATTAATTTTGAATTTAAATCAACAAATTTTTACGCTTCAGAATAATCTACCTATAAATAACCAATATAGAGGAATGGCAGGATATGCACCACCCCTATTTTACGGAAAAGCTGGAGAAGATCCTGAAGAATGGATTAGAGATTTTAGACAATACTGTGAAGCATCTGGGCTTGATCCACTTGCAAACACTCGAACTAGAGTAAGGATTCATGGACTTTTTGAGACTTGTTTAAGAGATGATGCAAAAGATTGGTATGAAACTCATCTCAAGAATAAAAATTGGGAATTGCAAAATATTAGCGACAATACGGGTCTTGCAGATCTTGGTGCCATCAATGGATTGGCTAACAATAATGCATTGCGTGCTATTAATGTCAATCAGTTTAGAGGCGGAGCTCTTCAAATAAGAAATACTGTTTCAGCCAATAATAATGCAATCGCCACACCATTAGTGCCGGCGCATACTGTTTTCGATGAAGACTGGTTGATATCTGGTGGACGACCAACAGATCTAGCCCCAAATGCCCCCAATGCTAATGCAGGAGGTAATACTATAGCTCCAGGAATTTGCATCGGACAGGTACTATATTGGTTTAGAACCAATTATCCCACAATAACTGCTGAAAAATCAAAAGTGGTATTCTATAACATTACTCAAGGTACTGATCCTATAGGTCGTTTTTACGCAAAATTGAAAAGAATGGTTGGTCTTGCCTATCCAGCACTTCCAGCATTGAATCAAGAAGAAATGGTTAGACAGCAATTCTTTCAGAGCCTTTCTCCTGATAACAAAATAGAAGTAAGACGTATTGGTCTCGAATATCCAATTTCCGCTTTACTACCAAAATTAGAAGAAATTGAAAGACAGAAGGCTGAAATGATGTTAGGTCAGTATAATTCTGAATCTCACCCTGTTATTTCTCGTTCACAATCTAAAGCTAATACAAAAGATAGTTATTCAAGCAATATGAGTATGAGTAGAGATGAAACAGAAAGCTTTGTAAAATCTATTATAGCTTCATCGCAATCTCAGCCCGTTTCTACACAATCAACTTCTCAAAGACGAGAAGGACAATTATTACGACCCAGTCAATTGGAACCAGGTGAAATATATCGGGGTCCAGATCTGCGCTTGAATGACCAAGAATGGTTTCGAATGAATGAAACAACAGACCGTCTTAGTGCTTTAGCAGGTCCATCTACTTTACAATCATTAATAGATACAATTACTAAAGGAGTAGTTCATAAATTTTCTTCCTTCTTACCTAAGAAAAATAAAGGTAATATGTCAAAAAACGCTGAAGTTGATTCTGATGAAGAACTAGCTAATCTCACACAAAGGCAATTAAAATTACACGTGGCTAGAGCGGTTAAAAAAGCTACGAAGGCACAACGCCGTTGCTCAAATTGTAATAGGACTGGACATAACTCCCGCAACTGTAAATATAAAAAACGAAAGTCAAAAAAGACAGGTAAAGTTAATTTTGCTACTGTGGATTCAGATTCTAATTCTAGCTCTTCCGATAATAATTCTGATTCTGAATCTGATTCTGGAACGAGCTCTGAAGAATCCTCAGCCGAATCGGATTATAGTATTAATATACACGTCTCTAAAGCAAAAAAAAAAAGTAAAGCAGAAGAGCAAATCGTTATCTAAAAAGAATTTCAAAACTCATAAGACAAAACAAAAAAATGCTTCCACTTCTAGTAAGTCCCGAAATAAATCAACTGTTCTTGAGCAGAATATTCGTCAAATTTTATTGGATATGCTTGAAAAGGTTTTACTTCCACACCAGTTGGAGAAACTTAAACCAGGAAACAAAAACTCAACTATTCCAGATTTCACAAATCACCGAGAACCAGTTCCAGAAATACCCGATGAGGCAAAGCCTCGAATCTTTGATTCTTCAGATGGGGAGGATGAAACGCTAGACGATCCTATGGAGATAGATTTTGTTCAGAAAAAAAAAGAACCCACTACAAGCCTTGCAACTATAAAATGTAAGATAAAGCGCCTAAAAATTCCTGCAATGCTACTCGATAGTGGTGCTGAAATGACAATTATAACAGAAGATATTGTTAAACGTGTGGGTGCGCAAATAGATAAATCAGAAAAATACGATCTAAGTGGTATTGCTACTATTCCAATTGAATCTATTGGTATTGTACGTAATTTACCTATCACACTAACTTCTGGTTGTACCATATATGAAGATTTTGTGGTTGTAAAACATCATAAACCAATGTTAATATTTCCGAATCCGCTTCTCAAGAAATATAAATGTACCATAGATTAGGGCAATGATAAAATGGAGATTTACTACAATGACAAAAAATTTATTATCCCGGTAACTATGCACAAAGTCAAGAATAAACTTGAAGTGAACTATGCAACTGCGATTCAGGATAGGGACAAAGTCCCATTGATTTGCAATAATTTGACTTTAAAAAAAAACACATGAGCTATGAGGCATTAGAAAAATCGCTATATATTACTCTCCAGTCTAAAGCTGAAATAAATGGTCTTTGTGAAAAGTTGCAAATGCGTTATGAAAAGCTACTTGAACATATCTCTACCAGAGATAATATTATAGATTAAGTAGTAGCTAATAGGCGAGTCATATTTGCTTTATTTTTCTCATCTCTTCTGGCTTCTT